TCATCTGTGCAGGCAGGAATGCTTTCCATGCAGCTCTCAGACACACAGTGCCCCTCCTCCTCCTCACATTCCTGCTCTGGCCTCCACCAATCAGAGAGCTGGAATCTTTCCTCTGACTGCAGAATCAGAAGGGGGAGGAGTTAAGGCTGTGCTTCACCCCTCAGGTCTCAATCTAAGAGCTCAGCAGCGTCAGGATGAAACGCTTCAATCTTTGCTTTCTGTTTCTGAGCCGCAGCTCAAAGTCAGCCGGATTCCTGCTTTAAGGAAAACTGAACTTTTCCTTCCAGGCTGCAGAAATCAGAGCGACGCTTCCTGGATTCAGCTGATCAGAAATGATCGGTTAGTCAGAAAGTGAGCAAAACACTGGCAGAATAAATGAACAGTTTAGATAACTGAACAGGTCAGAACCACAGAACCCATCAGGAAGCCAGAACCATCTGAATCAGAACCGTTTCTGGGTCCACCTGTTTGCTAACATCTGAGTCCAGGAAGGACGTGTCCCCCACGCGTCGTCCTCAGTGTCCCACCCTGAGTGTCCCCCTGTCAGGAAGAGGAGTCAGGCTGGAGCCCAAACAGCTGAGGAGGAGCGGACTCAGGCCCAGGACTGTCTGGCGGAACCAGAACCAGAAGCTTTGCTGTAACTTTGCTCCTAAGATCCTGTTCTATGGTCCAGACCTTAGCGGTTCTGATTCTACCGACCAAGCCGACGTCTACAACCAGCCGGGAGCAGCAGGGGGCCGGGCTTCATCATCCCACAGCTCAACCGGGCCTGATGGACGGTTCTGGGAACCTCCATTTATCACTCGGTACCGACGGACCGGGTTCCAAACTCATCAGCATTTTTTCCTTTCATTCTTCTGGTCCAGAACTCGTCCAGTCTGGGTTCCTGGAGGCGATTCTGAAGGAACATGCAGGTTCTGGAACAGGAACGTCCCACAGCTCCCAGCACCGTTCCAGCTGGGCTCCATGGAAACCAGTCCAAACATGGAGCCAGGAGAAGGTCCTCTGTCTCGCAGGGAGGAGAGACGGGACAT